GATCTCTCGCGTTGGGCCGGTAACAGGTGGAAATTGACTTTAAAAGGTTTTTTTTAACAGGCACAGGACATGTTCCTGTGAAGCGTCATTTGCCTCTACAATTTGCAAACAGTCCAGGAAAGGACCTGTTAAGAAAAAAGTTGTGACTATCAGAACAGACCCACTGCTCATAACCAGGGGCCAGTTGCCTAAACATAGTCACTAAGTTAAGAGTGTCTTAAAGGGTTAGTTCACCCAAAAATTTAAATTAGCCTGTTATTTACTCACCCTCAAGCCATCCTAGGTGTATATGACTTTCTCCCGTAAGACAAATCCAATCGGGAGTTATATTAAAAATTGTCCTGGCTATTCCAAGCATTATCATTGCAGTCGGTGGGTGTTTCTTTACCACAGTCAAAAACACATCCAATAAAGTGCACGCATCCATAATAAAACGTGCCTCACATGGCTCCGGGGGATGAATAAAGACCTCCTGTAGTGAATCCATGTGCTTTAGTAAGAAAAATATCCATATTTCAAATTGTAATAAACACTTTTCTATCACTTCCTCCATCTGTCATAAGCGGAAGCCATTCCGGTGGGTGACGTAGGATGTTGGCGTTGCGTGATTAGTGACGAGTGCGGAGAGAGAAAAACGAATCACGAATTAGAAGTACAAAACGAGGATTTGTAAAGGACAAATGTCGGAGGATTTCGATATAAGCCAAGAGGAGACGGGTTTTCCTTTGCTAAAGTAAGGAAACTTTGCCTCCTTTGCTCCTGTTAACAAACTCGCGAGACTAGCATATCTCAGAGGCTCATACGTCCTACGTCATCCGCCGGAATGGCTTCTGCATACAACAGTTAGCAGAAGTGAGAGAAAAGTGTTTATTATGTTTAAAATATGGATATTTTTCTTACAAAAAAGCATGGATTCGCTCCAGGAGGCCTTTATTCAAGCCCCGGAGCCGTGTGATGCACGTTTTGTGATGAACGAACTTCCGGTTCGAGTGAACGGTGGTGTGTTTGGCTGCTGCTGCTCTCCGGTATTTTATTTTATTTTATTTTACTTTGTACTGTCATGTGATTTTTGTGGAGCATTATTCCATTGCCTGCCCTGTTACGGTGCGTGGACTGTGGATCTGAATGAACTTCTGAATGAACTTCAACGTGGAGAACTAAATCCAGTTTGAAATGTGGTGCTATATCATCTGTGCACTGGTTTGCTGGAGTTTTACTGTTTGTTCTTCGAAGTGGGATCTGTTTTTCGATCCCGGTGTCAACTGCTTTCCGAGCATGGTGCATAAATACTCTTCATTGGATTTACAGAGACTAAATTCGTTCTACCGGCTTCCCGGCGAAATATACAACTGCTATGCCGCACTGGGAATTACATCCCACCCCAGGTACATCCATCGCGGATCTCGCCGTGATTGCCTTGTGTGGTCTGTGACTCTATCGCAGGATAATGATTATATCCCGGTCATTTGGTCGTCATATCGCCGCTCTTCCATCGGATCAAATGGTAAAAGTCAGAGCATCAATTTTGGAAATATCACTTTGCTCAAACAGAAATTATAATTGCACCATAAAAGCTCACCAACTTGGCTGGAGAGGACGCTGTTGTTCGCCGCTGCTCTGTTGTCACAATTTCTTTGTTTTAATATTTTTTAACCGTTTTTTGCACGGATTGTTTTAAATTGAAGTTAGAGGACGTTGGCACTTGTTGTTTTCGGCCATTTTCTCTGTTTTAACAGTTTTTTTACATGGATTATCATCGAACTGAAGGCTGTCTACTCATCTACTGTTATCCCCGTCAACATCGGTTGATTGTTAGTCATTTTTCGCTATCAGTGGGTGAACACCTGGATTTTTTTCTGTCTTTTAGCGTTGCTGCTGCAAGCTTTTTTGGCGATCGACATGAAGCTCAAGTATTACCTTCCGCAACTGCTGACTCTCAACAACCGCACCATGCCCGTAACACGGGAAATACCGTGAGATCTTTGCATGCAAAGCTGAACTGTATGGAAAACATCACGAGATCCCTGCACATCAGGCAGGACAGAAAATGTGGAGTGAATTCCAGTGTACTATGGCCACTACAGAGATTCACTACCTCATTAACGCTTAAAATATAACTTTTTAATACACAATCCCTCACAAGTAAATCATCTTTTATACAAGACCACATCATGGATAAGGGATTAGACTTTGTGTATTACAGAAACATGGCACCAGCCTGAGGTCTACTCAGCGATAAATGACGCATGTCCCTCTGGTTACAGCTACCTGGAGAAAGCCCGCAACACTGGTCGTGGTGGTGGCTTAGCTGTAATACACAGACAGAATTTGGAATTGTCCCTCCTCTCCTTGCCTGCATTGTCTTCTTTTGAATGCCTTGCATTTAAGTGTAAATCCCCTTTCCCCATGACAATACTTCTCATCTATCGGCCCCCTAAACAAAACTCAGGTTTTTATTCAGAGATGCACAATCTACTTACAACACTCTGCACAATTTCTGATAACATTATAATACTTGGAAATTTTAATATTCATGTAGACACTCCCTCCTGCCACTTTGCAGCTGAGTTTCTGCAACTACTGGACTGCCTCAACCTCCAACAACATGTTGATGTCCCCACACATTTCATGGGCCACATACTGGACCTTGTCATTTCAAACTTAGCCCCTATTAGTAACCTTATGGTGTATGAACTGGGTGTATCTGACCACAAGGCCATCTCAATGTACAGTGGGGAAAAAAAGTATTTAGTCAGCCACCAATTGTGCAAGTTCTCCCACTTAAAAAGATGAGAGAGGCCTGTAATTTTCATCATAGGTATACCTCAACTATGAGAGACAAAATGAGGAAAAAAAATCCAGAAAATCACAGACCCAGCCACGTTTCATCTTCAGTGCCCTTGCTGATGGAAGGAGGTTTTCACTCAAAATCTCACGATATATGGCCCCATTCATTCTTTCGTTTACACGGATCAGTCGTTCTGGTCCCTTTGCAGAAAAACAGCCCCAAAGCATGATGTTTCCACCCCCATGCTTCACAGTAGGTATGGTGTTCTTTGGATGCAACTCAGCATTCTTTCTCCTTCAAACACGACAAGTTGAGTTTTTACCAAAGAGTTCTATTTTGGTTTCATCTGACCATATGACATTCTCCCAATCCTTTTCTGGATCATCCAAATGCTCTCTAGCAAACTTCAGATGGGCCTGGACATGTACTGGCTTAAGCAGGGGGACACGTCTGGCACTGCAGGATTTGAGTCCCTGGCGGCGCAGTGTGTTACTGATGGTAGCCTTTGTTACTTTGGTCCCAGCTCTCTGCAGGTCATTCACTAGTTCCCCCCGTGTGGTTCTGGGATTTTTTGCTCACAGTTCTTGTGATCATTTTGACCCCACGGGGTGAGATCTTGCGTGGAGCCCCAGATTGAGGGAGATTATCAGTGGTCTTGTATGTCTTCCATTTTCTAATAATTGCTCCCACAGTTGATTTCTTCACACCAAGCTGCTTACCTATTGCAGATTCAGTCTTCCCAGCCTGGTGCAGGTTTACAATTTTGTTTCTGGTGTCCTTTGACAACTCTTTGGTCTTGGCTATGGTGGAGTTTGGAGTGTGACTGTTTGAGGTTATGGACAGGTGTCTTTTATACTGATAACAAGTTCAAACAGATGCCATTAATACAGGTAACGAGTGGAGGACAGAGGAGCCTCTTAAAGAAGAAGTTACAGGTCTGTGAGAGCCAGAAATCTTGCTTGTTTGTAGGTGACCAAATACTTATTTTACCGAGGAATTTACCAATTAATTCTTTAAAAATCCTACAATGTGATTTTCTGGATTTTTTTTTCTCATTTTGTCTCTCATAGTTGAGGTATACCTATGATGAAAATTACAGGCCTCTCTCATCTTTTTAAGTGGGAGAACTTGCACAATTGGTGGCTGACTAAATACTTTTTTGCCCCACTGTAGCTGCCACTCCTCTCTTTCTACACTAAAGATAAGCTTTAAATCTGTTTCGGGGACCTGAAAAAGATCAACCTAGACACTTTGACCATAGACCTCCAGCATCTCTCTTCTGTTGATTTCTCCTCAGCCACTGAGTTGGTTGATTTTTACAACCAATCTCTGAGCAGTCTCTAAGATTTCCACGCTCCTATCAGAGCTAGAACTGTCACCTTTTTGCTCTCAGCTCCCTGGTACACCTGTGAACTGCGAAAGATGAAGACAGCTGGGCGTGACACTTAATGGCCTCAGGACTTACTGTTCACAGGCAAGCCTACAGAGAGCATCAGAAGGCCTATATGAGGTCTTTGAGAGATGCACGGTCACAGTTCTACTCCAATATCATTAACAATAGCCCTGGTAACTCCAAGCA